GAATGTGTAAGTTAAAATTCTTTAAAATAACATGGTCCGGTCTAGTAGGATAACTAAATTTCACGTCTTTAAAAGTGATATTTCCTGCGAAAGATTGATCTCTAATAATTTCTCCACTAACCATCATTGGTGAAGGTGGCATTTCCAAGTACTATAATAATGAATTAATTTACATTAAAATAAAAAATTACCTTTCATTTTTACATTACTAGAAAATATAAAACAGTACATGTACCTCAAAAACTCTAGCGCCAGCGCTAATACCTTTAACATATGAACCAAATAGCAACGATAATTGCGATAAAGATTTTTGTATAGTTTGCGTAGCCATTAAAAATGCCATTAATTCTCCCGGAGATAATTGTCCTGTGGATAATAAATGTCCACCAAAATATAAGGTACAAAGTAAGATACCATTAAGAAATAGATTTGTTCCTCCTTGAAACAAACCAATTCCTAAACCTAATTTTTCATACAGCTTAGACCCTAATGTAGTTTCTTTATAAAACATTTCTATCTCTTTCTCTTCAGCTGCAAATGCTTTCACCTATAAAAAAAATTTGTTATAAATTATTTTAAGCAATTTTGTTACTATACTGATATACAATATTACCGTTCTAATATTTTGTATGGCTTCCTCACAAACATCTGTAGATTTAGCAAGTTGATTCTGTGCCTCCATAGATAATTTTCTTAAGCCTCTTCCAAGCATTGTACCAATAAGAATTATGGTAGGCAAAGATAACACTGTAGCTGCAGTCAATTGTGGTGAAATCCCTATTACAGAAACTATACATCCAATAATTTGCGTAATACTTCTTAAGCCTTGTGATATGCATATCTTAAAGGTACTTTTAAAATCTTGAATATCACTGGTTAAACGACTTACTATTTCACCACTACGATTTTTATCAAAAAATGTGATGTCTTGCATTATAATTGATTTAAATAAATCTTGTCTCAAATTCATTGCTATTCTTTCACCAACATGTGAAAGCATATAAATATATACAAAAGTAAAAAATGCCTAAAAATAAATTTTTTTTATATAACAAACTATGTAATATTTGTCATTTATTTTATTTTATAGGCAATACAAAAAATATAATGTTTTGGATTAGATCAATAATTACATACCTGTATAATATACATACGTGCCAATGCAAATGCAGGCTCTGCCAGTTGCAATAACATATTTCTCATAATATCTTCTCCCTTAGTTTGACAGATTTTTGTTAGTACATTTATTATATTTCCCACACCTTGTGGTATCCATATATTTAAAATAGCAACAACCATTGCACTCTAAAAATTATAAATAAGTCTACAAAAAAGGTAAATCTTTATATAAACATTACACATAAATACTTACTGATAAAGCTACTAATAATTGCCAAAGATATGGATATAAATATTCTAAAAACTTTTTCCATTTAAAAGTCAATTCACTGTCTTTTTTAATATTTTCTGAAAGTTTAAGCGCTTTGGCTTCAACAGTAGAAATATGTGATTTTATTACGTATGTTACTGCTATACAACCTAAACTACCACAACCAAACTTTAAAATTGGTGAAAGATTTTTTAATTTACTAGTGTCATTTGTTATATATTCCTTAAAGCTACTATTGAATTTTCTTTTTGCTATATTAAACGTTTTGTCTTTTTGTTTTGATATAAATATCAAGGAATTCCTATAACAAAAATATTATTTGAAAACACTTAATAAATATAGTATAATATATATAATAATAAATTTATTATTAAATATGAACGATACCTTGAATATTTTGAATAATTAATATAGTGTTTAAATAACACTGTCCGTAATATAGACATTTTCGTATATTATTATATTCGTTATTTAATTACGCGAAGTATATTAGTATTCGAATTATATTATTTATAGTATATTCGTTATTTATCAAACATTATAATACAGCAAATGAATTTTTTTATCTAGTGTTTGTTATTAGAAACGCCATTATTGACTACTTTATTGGTAAATTAATAAATGATATTCAAGAAGGTTAAGGTAATTCATAATACTATGCCAAGAAAAGCGTCATAGGTATAGCACTTACGGCAATTTTGTTTCCAAGATATGTCACTAGATAGCACTCACAGTCCTGTTAAATTTCATACGCTCTCTGTTACTTTTGTTCGTGCTAGAACAGACGGTAAAAGTAGTGAATAGAACAATATTGAGATAATAAAAATGTTTCAAATCAAAATACAAAATTAATTTTCATACAAAAAGAATCTGCATGCCTGTACTTTAAGTTCAATTATCCTAGGATTTCTACGACAAAAAGATTTCTAACGAAGAAAGAATTTAAAGTAGGTTAGTATTTAAAGCTGACTTTTAATACAGTAACAATTACATATCGTAATTCATATGTTACGAAATATATTTATAAGACGAATATATTCCTCAAAACAATTGAAATACTAAGTTAGGCAAGATGAATCGAATGTAAAAAATTGATATATGTTTGAAATAGTTTTCACTATGAATTTAATTATTACGATGAAAACAATTTCTGTAACATAGCTATCATAATTTTCGTGCCAAATATTTTAAGTATTTTACATGTAAGAATTTACATGTACAAAATGCTATAATACATAAATTAATTTAAATCTTTAATTTGTATCTAGCTATAAAAGCGACAAAAGTTCGCTTTTGAAATATTGAAGATATTTTTATAGTTCTTTATTTTCTGTTTTATCTTACTTTATAAAATCCTTCTTTTATCTTGAATTTATGCATCAAAATGGCGCCCGTATTTGATTTCTCATCGAAGTGTAGGAAATATTTCGATCGGGATTCAATAATTGTTACTATTGAATAGAAATTTCATTATTTGAAGTATGATTTTTTAAGTAATATTTTGAAGACTATATATTCTTCACTTAGAATATCAAAATTTATTTATCGATGATATTATAACTTAAAAAGGTCGTTAATAAATATAGAAATTATTTATAAAAGGACACGAAATATCGATAAATTAATTGATAATAATAATTCTCCAGTGATAATATATATATATATATATATGTTTATATATTCTAGGCAAATCAAACAGATATTGGTAGATATTAATTTGTCCATCCACTGAAACAATAATTCTTCGATATAATACCGAACTCCACGGAAAGCCAACAATTTGAATATTTATTGAGACAACAGTAGAATATTACATTGTAATTTCCAATAACAATTTCATGGTAATACTATTTATATAGTACACTTATTTGTCTGTGCATCGGGCATCACAGAATCAAAACTGAAACGTTTTAACTACGACAAAAATTTATTATCGTGCCAAACAAATCTAAAACACAGAAAAAAAAGGAAAGATACATACAATGTAATAATACACACATCACCTAAAAAGAAAAAGAGGAATACACGCAATAATACATATGATAATACACTCTTCACTCAAAAATGAAATAGAAAGATAAAAAGAAAGGAAGAAAATTCTAATTGAATAAAAATCATAAAAAGATTCGAAAGTATCGATATTTTACGAGATTTATAATAATAGTAGAACATCAACCGTTCTATATTCCAAATAAAACAGGAAAAACAAATGATAAATATAATAATACACATGATAATATTCCCTCCATTCAAAAAATAGAATAAATAAAATAGAAGATAGGAAGTAAATCTTAATTACACAGAAATAATAGGAAGATTCGAAGGTATCGATATTTAACGAATTTAACAGCAATAGTAGAACATCAACCGTTCTACAGTACACGAAGGTCTTGTGTCATTGCCAGACTCGCGGAGCACTCGAGCAAGTACTTAATACTACCCTCCGCGGTGTATTCAAGGCGGGAGCGAGCATTTCAGAGCGAATGTAATAGCCGCACAGGCAATTAAACGTGGCAAATACATAAATACACGTTATTAACTTTGCGTACAAAGAGGCTGCCGGGACGATTAGGCCTTTCAAGGCTCAACTGTTCACCCTAAATCTCCTCCTTCTGCTGGTTCGCCTCCTCCTCATCCAACGCCGCAACGAGTCGCAATTTCAGAGCTTTTTCATGGGGCCGATGCATTACCATGCTGATCAAAGCTGCTACTTCCTGCGTAGCACACGGGGAACAACGACTCCCCGTTGTTATCCGTTAGAAAAACCGTGTGTCTTCGGAGAGATAAGTCGAAGAGTGGCTCGTTATGTCCCTGGTTGACGTCCAAGTATGCTTTTGATTTTCGCACACGTAGAGTTCCTCCACTTTGGATTCCTCGCCGTTTCAATAGCGTATCATTTTCTACTGGCGCTTCAATTTGCGCTTTGCTTGTTTCTTGAAGAAAGATCTCCTTTTTTATCATCATACTATCCGGTAAGTAGCAAGATATTTTTTCTTTTTTTCTTTTTACCAGAAAATTGATATGACTATTTTATAATTTTAGGAGACCTTTGAATATTATTGAAATTAAATTTTAATGAATGTTTCTTCTGTTGATAAACTCCAAACATGATCTCCGTGGAGACCTAACCTCTATTCTTGTAAGACTTCATCGTATTTGTACTATAATTCCGGCCAAAGTACAATAGGAATGAATTTTACTTTTGAGAAGATATATTTTTAAAGGATGCTAAGGACTTTATCATGAATTGAGGATTAAATTTTCGTGAAAATATCCTCCCTCGTTAAGTTCTAAACATGGCGTCCGTTCAGACCTAACCTCGATTCTTACAGTACTCAATTATACTTGTAATACTATCTCTGGTAAAAAGTTTTCGATCAAACACAGTAATAACACTTTATCAAAAATTACAGTAACGTCTCAAAAGTAAAATATCTTAAAATAATCATAAAATACATGGTACAAAGCAAAAATAAAGGAAAAATGAAACTTTTTGTCAGAAGAAGTACAATTACAGATTTTTACTTCAATCTGAAATTAACAAATTATTATCTCAATTCCAGGGGAAATAAAATAAAATTTACAAGTTACAAAGACACGGTAATGCATGAAACTTGGGAGCTACGATAGTAGAACACGTAAATGGCACAGCGAGGTTCAGCGAAAGGCGTCAAACAAACAAATATCCCAAGTCTCGACGAGAAAAAGCCCCGATTCCACCAGGGTTGCTTTTCCATCTTTAACGAATCGAAACTCGGGGGTGTGAGCAGCGCGGGCGGTCGGTGGCGCGTTAAAACAGTTTCTTCGACAAAAGCCATCGAGGCTCGAGGTCAGCCTCTTAACCCAGATTCCCAGTCGGAAGGCGAGAAGACAGCAGCTCTCGGTTACACACGATCAACGCGCTCAATCCGGGGAATCCCCCGAACCCATCCTCGGCTCCACCAGTCCAAGACCAACACCTAACCCGAACCCTGCAACAAGGGCCCAGAAACAAAGGAGCCAGCGGAAAAAAACAAAAATCCAAAAAAGAGAAGAAGCACGAGGAACAAAAAGGACAGAAAGAAAGAGAAATTCCAGTATAAGCGTAATAACTACGACGCGCGATACGGCGACGGTAAAAGAATGGTCCAAATGAAGCCTCCTAAATTTCAACACCCTCTTCGCCAGCGACCAGCTCCGCCATCCTCCTCCTTCGACTTCCCTTTGTCCGCTCTCTCGTTTTTTCCCCTCTCTCTTTGCCCTCGCCCCGTTTTCTCGATACCGGGGCTGCCAGCACCAGTCCGTTCCTTTTCTTCCGCTCCTTTCCGTCTCTGTCGGCGAGCCGATGCCCTCGCAATCAGCCGGCAAAGTGGAGTCGCGCGCGCGGCGCTGTCGTCGGCGGTGGCGGTGGCGGCGTATCAGTGAAACACGCGGTGCAAGTGCCGGGGTGGCGATGACGCAAAGTCAGCGCGGGCCAATGGACTGGCTGCTGTACGGGTGGTGTTCGGTGGGCCACGATTGGGCGTGGCTCGAGCCGAGGGTGCGTCAGGGGTGCCAGCGACGCCGCTGCCGCGTGGGGGAATGCCAAAGTGTGCCCCGGGGTGTAATATCATACCGCTAGGTGGATAAATAGACGCACGAAACTAGTAGGGACGAGTGGGGACGAGTAACGAACGGAACAGCGGAACGGGACGGGAAGGGGTCGGGAGTGGGTTGGATCGCGGGGTGGCTGGTGGAGGAGACCTGGCTAAAAGAGTAACCGGAGGATGACGGACACATGGAGGAGGGAGAAAGGGCGAGAAAGGGAGAGAGGAAATGAGGAAAGGGTCGTGCACCGAGCGAGGGTTACTCAAGGGGGTTAGACGGAAGACGGAGAGGCGAGACAAAGCGTGTTGGAACAGGACGAGGGATCGGTCTGGCGAACGGGAAGGGGAAATTGGGTGGCTACGCGATGCGAGCGAGACTAGACTAGAACAAATAGTGGTTGTAGCCATCCTCAGCTTCTGAGGTATTTTCCACTCGTGCGAGTTGCACGCATTCGAACGCCGGCCCAGCCTTGCTCACGGCGAACCGTGGAACGTTTGTATGCACAGGCCGTGTCGTGGCTTTCGTCGGGGATCGACGGCGGTGGCGCGGCGGTGGTGGTGGTGGTGGCGTTGCCACTGCAAAATGCCGAACTCTCCTCGCGTTTCGGGATACTCTGGTACACATGGGTTGTCGAAAAATTGTTGCGGATAAACTGTTTGGTATTGTAAAGCACTCGTTATCGGCGGCAACTGGGGAGTCTTGTTAATTCAGGAAGGGAATATAAGCCAATTTTAATTTGACAGACGAAGATGGCGAAATGGCACCCTTGTTTAAGAAGGAGCACCATTTTTAATTTTTCAGCTTATATTTTTCTAAATAATGGCTTTTATGTTGTAAAGAATTTGGAGAACTTTGGAGAAATTATTTTGTATTTTACCAC